TTTTTTTATATAAAAAATTATCTTATGTTTCTATATTTTCGTTTTTATATTTTTTTTATAATGACTGAGGTATTTGATCCATTTGGATAGCCAAGATATATTCGATCTTGTATGATTGGTGTGCTTCTAAAAATAATAATATAATTTTATTGATTTTGTCTCTTATCCATAATTATTTATATAACTAGTTTTCAACATATATTGTTTTAGTAATTCAAATGGGAGATTCACAAGGAAATAATAAAGAAAAAGGAAAAGAGAAAGAAAACTATGAAGCTTGGACCAAGGAGGATTCCGATGAATTGTTACAATTGATAGTGGATGTTATAAAAAAGAGGATAGGATATTATGGAGAATTATTATTATTATTTATCTAGACATTATTGTTTTTTTTATTATTTTTGTCTATGACTCTTTTTAAATTTGAATGTATGAAATTTTTTTAAAATATTATCAAATGTCAAAACTCCACAAATCCCATAGAATCCATTAAAATCCTGATTTAAAAGTCTTGCAGAATCCATTAAAATCCTTATTTTAAGTCTTGTAGAATCCTGCAAAATCTTAAAAGTCATGAAAATCCTGCAAAGTCTATTAAAATCCGGAAGATTTTTTTTAACTAAAAAAGTATTTTAAAATCCTAATCCAATACACCCCCCATGATATCGTGCATTTCTTCTTCTTCGTGTGTTTCTTCTTCTTCCATTCATGCATTTATTCTTCTTCCATTTGTTCTCCATGATATCGTGTGTCTCTGGTAGTTTTCGATGAATCTCCAATGAATTCATCTTCATCGAGTATGTACGTTGGTGTTCATGGTAGATCATTTGTGCCAGCTTGTTATTGTGACGATGTGGTTGTTTTGCAAACAGTGAAGACGTTTGCAAATACTGGTAAAAAGTTCTGGGGTTGTCCCAAGTACAAGGTATGTCTCATTTTGGGTTTAGGTTTTGATTCTCCTTTTGGGGTTTGTGTCTGATAATTTTTAATTTTTTGTAGAGTGGTGATGATGAAAGTGAGTGCAACTTCTTTGAATGGTTTTTAGAAGAATTTGTTGATGACAAAAACTTGTTGATTGCTAGACAAAAAAGAAAGATAGCCCTTCTCCAAAGTTCGTTGAAATCAAAAAAATGGTGGATGAAGATGTTGATCATTTTTGTAATCGTTTTAGTGATGATAAATGTGTTTGTCATGATGGTATTATCCAATAAGTTGGGTCAAATTGGAAATTTGGTTTATTTGAAGTAGGGTGGTTGATGATTGTGTTGTTCTGTGTAGTGTTTTATTGGTAACTGTCGCAACTCAAAAATTTTCGATCTTGCGACCTATGATTTAGACATCCTTTTAAAAGTCTCATTAATTAAGGAATGTCCGGACACCAGACTAATTCTTAATTAATGGTTTTGAAAATAGGTTCATGGAGTCGCCACCAATATTTTACTCAAAATGTTGGAAAAAGAAAAGATTTTTAAAGATCCAATAATGGCCTTGATAACCAAAATTGGGTTCGGGGGTCGATTACGTATAGGGAAGGTATTAAGCACCCCTACAACGCCCTAAATCGGTACCCTATGATGAAGATAACGTAATAAGAATTAATAGATTAAATATTAAATCCCCTTTAATAATGTTTATTTACATACTTAAAATATAAATTAAGCAATTTTCCTAAAATATCTACATTATGACGTTTATTATAATAAAAAGAAAATAAAAAATGAGGAATAAAAAGAAGAAAAGAAGATTGAATGAAATACCTCTTGAACAAGCTTTATTGAATCTTCAAATATGGAAAAGGTGCTTTGTGGCGACCTTTCACACTACAGTATGCCTCACAGATCTCAAGAAATACAATAAGAGAGAGAGAATATAGAGATGCGACACAAATCTCAAGAAATATAATAAAAGGGAGAGAGATAGAGAATTTTCGTGCTTAAAGGAGTCTTATTTGAAATTTCTCTGGCCGCCCTGAGAATTGTGCCCGAGGCTTCAATTTATAGGAATTAGAAAGGGGCCAGAATGGCCTGTTCCGGATTCGGAACGGCCCGTTCTGGCTCAACAGTTATGTGTAAATTTCGTACCCTGGAACGGCCCGTTCTGAAAACGGAACGGCCCGTTCCAGAGTAGAAAGTAACACAAATTTTCCTTTTCTAGAACGACCCGTTCCAGATTTGCCTTGTTTGGAACGGCCCGTTCCACCCAAAATGTTTAGCTGATTTCAGTTACGTTGGAACAGCCCGTTCCAGGGTTCAGAACGGCCCGTTCTGATTTTGGAACGGCCCGTTCCGGGCTACTGAAACCACCTTATTTGGCTTTCAGGCCTTCTGATGTCTTGTCTTGTTGTTTGCCTACTTCGAAAGCCCCTTCCCTTCGTAACGGAGGTCCATTTCTTTGTTTGTGTACCCCCTAGACGAAATTGGGTGTCTACAATAACAAAAGGGTGGTTTATAATTATATTGTAGGGTTGTTTATGATTGTATTGTAAAAAGTTGTATTGTGCAAACATTTGTACTACTTTTGAGTTAATTTAGATATGTTGAATGACACCCTCAATCTGGTTTTATATGTTTTATTTTGTGCAACATTTAAAGATAATATAAAGAAGCTAAATGCATGCCTTGTAAAAACAGAAAGAGAACAACATTAAAACCATGTGATACATGGCTAAATCAGTAATTAAGGTGCAACAAGAAGCTTTAAAAACATATATAATCAGCAGTTACATTATTTAGAGGCACCATGTGCTTAAGAGGGTGGCCTATTTGTTTTTGACTATTTAGCTAGAAAAAGTAAAGTTGGGAATGAACTCATGGTGATTTTTTTAAATCATGAACTTAACAACAATAAGATATTTTATATATTCAATAAGTCAGATAGGTTTGCTGTCAATATGCAACAATATCTACTAGCACAACAAGGGGTACTTAACATATAAGTTTTAGATGACATTATCAACACCGCTTCACTGTCATAATACGACCGGTCAATATGCAACAACACATACCAACAAAATAAGGAGTACACTGCATATGAGTTTTAAAATAACAATCTATGGGATCCATTCACTGTCCCAATGCCAGTAGAAGAATCTATGGGATCGATTCACCATACACAGGTAGAACAATTAAGTGACTTGTAAAATAAGAACAACAAAGTGACTTAATTGTGCCATAATTATATCATAAGAACAACAAACTGACTTAATTGTACCATAATTAATTGTATCATAAGAACAACAAAGTGACTTAATTGTACCATAATTATATCATAAGAACAACAAAGTGACTTAATTGTACCATAATTAATTGTATCATAAGAACAACAAACTGACTTAATTGTACCATAATTGTATCATAAGAACAACAAAGTGACTTGTAAAATATTACATCAAAAATGTGGGTTTATCAGTTTTTTCCCATTACATAATAACAAAATAACAATCTGTATACTTGTTAAGTCAAACTTCATGGTTTCCTGTGGGG